CACACACACACACACACACACACACACACACATACACATACTGCACACGCTCTTCCCCTCGTGCGTCGCCCGCCTCATTCGCTGCCTCGCCAGTCCCCACCACCGCGCCCATCGCTGCCAGGCACATCCTAGAGGTCCGCCTAGCAATTCTCACCACGTCCTCCTTGCAGCGCACTTCCCCCCCGCCCCCTGCCGCGCCCGGCGTCACCACTCGTCGCGGGAAACCTGGGCGTCCTCGCTCCCACCGTCCGTCTGTCCAAACCGGCAACCGGTTCGCGCCTCCTAGTCGTCGAGCCAACATACACCTGCGTCCGCCCTTCGGTACCCGCCCGGCATTGACACGCTTTTATGTACGTCCACCTGCGACCTCTCTCTCTTCGCCAGGCCTCGTCTCGTCTTCGCCTTCTTCGTGTGCCATGCGCTTCTCTGCTTCTTCTTTGCTGCCATTGCCTCTCCGAGTCTGACCGTTTCACCTACTCCCACTAACATCATGTTGGGCAGCCTTCTCCTCCCCACCAGCCCGCCGGGCCCAAGGGGCACTACTTATTCCCCCACAGCAGCGCCGCCCCTTCCTCCCCGCAGAAACTCCCTGTCCACCCAGCCTGCTGCCAAAACCGCCGCCAAAACCACCCCGCTGCACATCAAGACGGTCAAGCTGTCGGGCGCCATGGACTCGCGCTACACGCGCCCCTCGTCCCCCCGCAGGGCATATGGCAATCCTGCCAGAGCATCCACCGGCGGCTTCTCTGACCCATACTACGACTCGTCGTACTATGCCCGCCCCAGCTCCCCACGCGCCAGCGTTGATCGTTTGGCTGCTGCCTCGTCGATTCATTCCCCTTACTGGAACCAGCCCACTGCCTCTCTCGCCGCTGCCCGCACCAGCAACCTCAAGTACGACTCGTACACTACGACTCGCCCCCGCCGCAACACAAACGACCTGACCCGCCCCAACGTGAGCACCAGTGCCCTCCCTCAGACGTCCCTTCCCCTCCGCACTCCCTACTCGCCCCACGCCACCTCCCATGCCGACCGTCCCAGAAGCCCCCTCACCTCTTCCTACGACAAACGCGCCGACACTTATATCACCTCTGCTCCCTCGCGATCCCACAAGAAGGTCTACAGTGTCGACGATACCAGCCACTTGACCAAGCTTGTAGCAGAGGTCGATGCCTCGCGCCACAGGGACCACGCAGATAGGGGCTACAATGTCACTAGTGGTGGTCGTACTTACCATGACTCCAAGCCTTCACCGCGCCTGTCTGACATGAGTAACGATGGCTACTCCTACACGGACCCCGCAAGCATGTACCGCGACACAGAGCCAGCCTGGAGACGTCCACGTGCTGGCAGCATTGAGCGCAGTTCTCGTCCGACGAGCATGATTGCCGAACGCCCTCCACGCACCTCTACCCGTGAACTCGGCCCTCCACCATCCACTCGAGGCTTCGACAAAATTCACCCCGCTCCACGGGTCCATGGCCGGTCATCTTCGATTGACAGAACCCCAGTCCCCAAGTATGACCCCTATCCGGATGCACACCTTGGCCGATCATCCTCCACACGCTCCCGAGCCCCAGCTGCCGTTCATCAAGAATCCCGCGAACACCGTCGTGACACGTACCGTGACGACTACGACCGCAGGGATGTCGAGAACAAACGCCACAACACCACTTTCGAGGACCGTGACGTCACATCCCGAGGATTTGGCATCGCCCCCACCGGCCCTCCCCCCCTTGCACATGATCATCATGCCCTTGATCGACAGCCTGTCTACCCTCCTCAAGAGCCTCCCCGACCCAGGGTGCAGGAGCCTGCCGCCTCGTACTATCAGCCCGAGCGTGCCGAGGCTCGCATGCCTGAGGTTCGTAGTTCCCGTGACCGCGACGTACCCCCTCCAGACTATGACCGACGTCCCCGTGAACGGGACCATGGTAAACATGACAAATACGATGGCAATGGTTTTGTTCCCACCGCTGCTGGAGCTGTTGCAGGCGTTGCTGCCACTTTGGGCGCTGCTAGCTACATGAAGGCCCGTGAAAAGGAACGAGGTAGTGACCGTGACTCTTCTGGAGAAAGAGAGCGAGAGCGCCGAAAGGAATACGATGAACGTGACAGGCGGGACCGTCCTGATGAGCGACGCGAGAGGAAGTCTGAAGGCCGCCGCAACTCTCTAGCACCAGCTCCAGCCGTGGCTGCCCCCGTTGCCGCCGCTGCCGCTGCTGCCCCTCCTCCAGCTCCTCCAGCACAGATTGCTGCTCCCGACTATCCAGCCTACCCTGACCCAGATCGCAAGTACCGTGACCGCCGACAGGATGATGACAAGGACAAGGTGCCTGTTTCTTCCAGAAAGGCCCCATCGCCTGAAGGCAGTGGAGATGAACGGCCACGTCATTACGTTGACCGAGATGCTGAGAGGCGAAAGGAGCCTGCTCCACAACCAGCTGCTGTAGACCCCGATGAGGAGTACCGACGACGCATCCAACAAGAAGCCGAGCGTGCCGGTCGCAGCAACCGTGACCGGGAGAGCGACTCTGACCGCGAAAAGGATAGACGAAGGCGAAAGGAAGAGCGTGAAAGATCCAGGTCTCGAGGCCGAGAGGAACCGTCACGTGCATCGCCTCCTCGGGACGCACCTAGCTCTCGGGATGACCGCTCTTCAGCCACCCACAATGGAGGCATGGTGCAGGAGCCTGACACACTCGACAAGGAATCAGAGCCTGCTAGCAAGAGCGTGCAGATTGTTGAGCCACCCAAGGAACCCGTGGCACCTGTCAAGGGCATTCTCCGCAAGCCTACTGCCAAGTTCCCAGAGGATCCTGAGCCTATCCGCGAGGGTGTAGCACCCCACAAGGATGCTCTCAAGGGCAAGGACATTCCTGTTGGAGCTCGATGGACAAGGATCGACCGACGCCTAGTCAACCCAGAGGCCTTGGAACAGGCCAAGGAACGTTTCGAAGAGCGCATGGACTGTGTGATTGTACTCCGAGTCTTGACCAAGGAAGAGATTCAGAAGCTCGCTGATCGTACAAGGAAGATCCGCGAGAGCAGAGGTGAGTTTGTCAATGAGTTGGTTAAGCAAGCATTGCTAACAGATGCATAGAGGATGACGAGTACGATCATGAACGACGAGAGAGAGAGGACCGTGACAGACGCAGCCGCCGCTCCAAGGACGACCGAGATGACGAGGATCGCGATGATGACCGCTATCATCACGAACGTGAGCGACGTCGTCGCTATGATGATGAGAGCGACTACGAAGGCCGCGATCGATCAAAGAAGCACGACAACGATGACGGAAGGTGATGCCACTGAACGAGTTTCATGCACTGCTACTAGCCATTTTTCTGGTCTGGAGCATGTGCTTATGTCGTGTTGAGTAGAGGAAGAAAACGCTTAATTACAAAAACCTACAAAGAAATTCTGTCGAAGAAAAAGACGATGAGAAAACCATGGCAGCTCAAGCGTCGGACAGCAAGCAGAAACAGGACAAGGTATAGGATGGCACGTTTCAACGTCTGACAGCAGACGGTAAACGGCAGACAAAGGCACTGGAACATTGTCCTAGGACCGTTTTTCGCGTCCAGCTTGCCCCAGTAGTAACGCACCAGGTTACGAAGTTGTAAATTTTTATTATTCTCTGGTGCAAATCGGCAGTCACGGCGTTCCCATGGAAAGAGTCGCATAGCTATGGTGCTTTGGTGTTTATAAAATTGCATTCGCCTTCGATAAAGCCTTCGATCTAGCATCGCTGTGTTATTCCGTTTTGGATTACAAGCTTTCATCGTTTTGTTTCTTTTTTAGAGACACATGTTTGATTCAGTTGTTTCTTCTTTTCCTTTCTTTTTTTATGGCATCAAGCATGGCGCGTGGGAAAGGGGGGTTGGGTGGTTAGATCGTGCAATAGGGAGCTGGGGTGGCAAACAATTCTTGCCCTTCTGTACATGGCTTTCTTCTTCTATCCCTTTGCTTTTTTCTTCTTACCACTCTTCGTTCCGAATTACCTTCTAAGGGGTTGAAATAAAAATATTTTATTTCGATTGCATGTTTGTTGGCTGCCTCAAAAGTGTGTGTAACTCATCGTTGGATAATTTCTATCCTGATACTGTTTAGGCAAATGGGGTAATAGTCATACCGATGAACAGTTAGTTGGGATTGGAAATCTCGATGATGACGCCCAACACCACCACCGTCATCACAACCATCATCATTCACAAAATGACGGTAAGACAGTGCACGTGGATTGTCCGCCCTTACCTCCCTAACCACTCATAATCATCATCATCTCACCGCGCACATGCACATGAGCACCACACGTAGATCAGATCAGCCCAAATCACCCCGTTCGCCGCATCATCTCCTTTCTTTTTCCCTTTTTGCTTCTTCCCGAACTAACATCCTTTGCTTTCTTCCGGTACAGCGTCATGCAGGGGGGGGGGCTTTCGGTTGCAGCGATGCTATAGCGCAGTTGTGGTTGTGGGTTGTGGGTTGCGCATGCAGGGCGTATGTAGGGTATTTAAGTGCGTGTGTGAGAAGGAGGTGGTATGCAGGGATGAAAGGGGGTTTGTGCGGTGGAATGGTTGGATGAGCTAGTTAGGGGGAAAAGAAAGGGGAGGTATGTGTGAAGAGGGGGGTTTTAGGAAGGGTGAGTGACGTATTGAGTGTTAGTGGAGGGTTGAGAGGGGGTTGTCGGTTTTTTTGTTGATAGGAGTGCAGGTTTTTATAATATGTTTATTAGGTGTGTAGTTATGAGTATATTAGTATGTATATCGGTTTGGAGTGATACGAGTCCTTGAGGGGGAGTTCTTCAGGGTCTTCTTGGACGGAAGCTACGTATGCGCTCCTATGCACGTGACTGTAGCTTCCCACCTTTCTTACCCTCCGAGGGTTCGTCCTCTTTCTCCAAGCTCAGTGCTTAAAGTATCTCACTGGCAGAGTTCATGGCATCTTCTACCCGTACCCTTCACCAACTCGAACCTTGCTTGGCACAATATTTCCATCCGCCCACGCCCGGCTGCATACATGTATTCGTATCCTGGGATATATCCATGCTATCGACCTGCAAGTAATGCGCCTGTGCGCCGTCAAGTAGATATTGGCCTTTTGGTGTGGCGGGCATGCACTGTATACGTTAATACCCCCAAGCCAGTACAAATGAAACATAGAGTAATAAGAGTGTTTTTCTTTCGGGGTGATATGGTATGTACGCAGAGGATGTTTCCCAGCCCAGCCTCGCACCAATCCATAGGATACGGGATCTTTCTCTCAGTTCCACCTGGGACGGGACCTTGTTCGCCGTGGCCACAACATAGTTCTAACAGTCATAATTTTTATTAGCCGACCGGATCTTCTAACAAAGAAACAAACAAAGAATAGTCGTAGAAGAACGTAGTGCATGTGGGTGTGGGGAGAAAAAGAAAACGTACTACTCTTTTCATACGCAGGCGGAATCAACCACCGCAATCTCGCTCCCGCCCCACACGAATCTCCAACAAAATGACTTAGACCATTATTGCCCACAGGAAACGCTGTGTTCCTGCTACACCCATGGTGGTGGTTTGGATCCGTACCGTCTTGACACTGCGCTTGATATGTAAGCCAGGCTTTATGTACCGTGAGGGGGAGAAGAATGAGGAGGCATGTGTATGCTGGGTAACAGCGAGGGGAGTACTTGCGCATATTTGAAATGCCCAATAGGTTGTGCCTTGCGGGTCGTCCTGGAAAGAGGATGAGATTATGGTAATTCCTATGACATGATGCCGTACATAAGGCAGGATCGGGTCCGAAGAGAGCTCGGACAGCCTAGAGGGGGAAAGGGAATACCCGTCATCAGACCTCGCTTTACCCTTTAAACGGCAATTCATCTATGTACCTACTAATGATCCGCCTAGATTGAGGTGGCGATCATAAAAGCATTGAAGATGCAGCGCTGACACAGCATGCCGCTGCGTACAAGAAATGAAGTTGGCCATAACGCAAGTAAGATAATCGTAAATGTGCAGAGTTTGACTATATAAGAAGGTGAGTGTTATGCACCCCATAGATGGGTCGAGACCGACTTAGTAAGCTACTCAGTGACCACTTAGTCGAGCGACGCTTGGATATAATAGAATGGGATTTTCTGACTCGTACAGTATAAGGTATAGTTTGGAGAGGTGGCATATTTAAATCAGAGAGGTACCGTCTACTGTTTATCCCAGCATGGCTCAATGGAATGATTGATCGAGGTTTCCCAATCAGATGCTGCGCAGCACACTGCATGGCCTGCTTCCCTATACCAGAAATACCTGATAACTAAAGAAGTCTAGTGCACGGGGAGGAGAAAGGTATATCGTATGATTGGGGATAGCGAAGGTGCTTATGGTGAGACGGGAGAAGAATACGAGCATGCCGGCAGATGCACAACTTAGTTCGAGTTGAGAAGCATGAACGAAATGGCTATTTGGTGGAAGTCTATGAAACCATAAATACTTTATGAACGAACAAGGGTGGCATAGGTGAATACGAGACATTCTGTACAGTCTTTTCACTATGTCGCGGTCGCTACTATTACTTTAGCCATCCCCATGTGAATCATCTTTCATCCTTTTTCAACCTTCTCAGCAATACTACCCACTCACTCCTGCCCCCGACTGAAAACAAAATCAGCCGGTGCCCCCGTAAGGACCAAGTCTTCCGGGCTCAAATGCTGCAAACCACCCTCGCCAAATGCAAAATCATTCTCAATCTGCATGAAGAGGTACTGACCCGCCTCGTCCAGCGTCCAAGGCCAAGGGCTTGGACTAGGAGTAGAAGGCGTGACGATCCCCGATGATTGTGCATTACGAGCATTCCCTTGCTGTTGCCCCGGGTATTGGTTTAAAGTATCAGATAGTTGAGCAGTGCCAGGATGATTCCCTGCTTCGTCTGATTCCATGATCAACCTGGACGCGGTATCTCGATCGATGTAGTGGAAGAAAAGCTCTAGAACCCAATTCGTTACTTCCCATGTCTTTTGGAGCTCCCGGAGACCCAGCAGGCAAAGCTTTGCACGATGCTCGGCTAGTGTGCGGTTAATGCCGGTCGAGCGGCGGAAGTGGACGACGTGGATGCATAGCGTGTTGAATAGGTTTGTGATGACGTGCATCTGAGCGTGACAGATGCTACTATCTGGTAGCATGTCTTCAACTATGCGTGAGTTGCGTGCAGCGGCCTGGAGCGCGACGTTACCTTCGGCTGGTACACTGCGGCTCTCATCCATGATGAAACTGGTTCGGTGAAGGAGAATGAGGAGATTGTTGTATGCGAGGTGGAGCATGCTAGCTTGGAAGTTGGGCACGCCGCTAGCATCGGTGTCAAGTCGCATGATGCTGGGGAGGTCATTCTTCCACTGGTATAGTTCATCGCGAAGCCTGGTCGTGTCTTCGGACGTCAGTGTGCGTCCGGGTAGATAGCCAGCATCGACTACGCGGCCGAGAAAAACTGCCAACTGCACCATACTTATTGCATAAGCAGTCGAGCTGTGGCGGACATCTGCTGGAGAAGAGGATCGAAAGGCATATGCAAAGTCGGAATATGACAATGGCTCTACGTCGCAATCTTTGTCGCGTATCCGGCATGGCAGGCCCAGAGCGGCCGCGCATTGTCTCTCACGGATGTAAATGGCCCACCACAGTCTTCTCTTAACCCTGGTAAGTTTTTCCTCTGAATTCCCCCCACAGCGATGTAGTGCCCGTGTTTCTGATAGACTGATGGCTGTTCCAAGCCAATGACGGGCATCTTTTTCCAACAAAGCGCCTGCCCTCCAAAAGCTCATCAGAAGCAAGGCTTGGATCACAGCAAGTTTGTCAGTCTCGTAAGTCGCGTCGTAAATGTCTTTTGCGCGAATGTAAAAGAACCATTTTGCTCGGTGACGATTGCCCCATCCTAGTTTCTTCAGAGTTGATTCGTCACAGTGAATCACGCCAATGAACAACATCGCCTGCAATAGCAGGGCAGACATTTCTAGTCTGTTGTAAGTGATCCAGTAATCGTCTTCGTCAATGATGGCAAAGTGCGGGTGAAACCATTTGAAGTAGGCCTCTAGTAATTCTTTTCGGATGTCGGCAGGGGGAAATGAAAACGCGCCTTCTGCCTGCAGAGCCTTCTTCCTCGCGATACGCCTTTCAGCCTCCCATTCCGGAACATTTGCTTCTTCTCTAACCGCTCTGGGAAGAGCATGGCGGAAGCAAGACTCGCGAAGTTCTACTGCAGCAGGGGTGGGCGCTCCTGCCACGTAACGTAATGAACTGGATTCGCCGAGAAAGACGGCATCTTCTGGCTGAAAATTCTCCGTTGTTGCTTGGCTGTTACTTGTTTCTGGTGCTGTCGATGGCGTAGGGAACTGATTCTGATTACCAGTGACCGGCGCCTGAGTGTTGACAGGACTGTTGAAGTTCGACGACAAAGAAGCCAGGACGTGTGATGCCGCAACCTCATCCTCATGCCGTTGCGGGCTGAACACCGGCAAGCTAGGTGGACTACGTTTATGTCAGCCTTTACACCTCGCGAAAAGATCCCTGGGGAATATTTGCATACGTTTTGCTTCGTGCCTCAGCTTCGACGCGCGGCTTTCTAACATGCTTTCCGCGCTTCGATTCTCGGGTTTCGCATTGCAAATCAGCGGTCATACAGTTGCTGCAAGGCTGTCGATCGGTTACATCGCACTTCACTCTCCGTGCGTTGCATGTCACGCATGCTAACCTGGCGCGTTTGCGCGGCCGTTCAGACATGTTGCCGGCTCGCAGCGTGGATTAGGGAAGAAGCCGAAGTCGGTTATCAGGTCTTGCAAGGCAGCAGTTGGCGGCTTGGCAAGATTGTGGTAATGTGATTCGTCCAAAGGCCTCTCCAGGGACAAAGGATATAGCGATTTTTCTTCAATATGTTTAATCGGATCATAGAAACTTGATTCATGCAAAAAAGTTACGGAATTCCTTTAATACTGCATTTACCTCCATGTTAGCGCATGCGGGTGGTGAAGGAGAACGTTATCGATATCGGCTATGCATCGGCATTGAGTACAGTACATCATCACCCGCTCCTGCACGTAACTACAATCTGAGTCAGTAAAACAAGTCAATCAGGAAAGCAAGTTGTCGGAATAGAAACAATTCATCATGTCGCACCTAGCCCGCCGATTCTTCGCTACGACATCCCGCAACCAAGCCTCCGCATTAGAAGCACGCGACGAACTGCTCACCCGCTTCCAGAACGGCCCAGTCTCCGTCCGGAAACAGCTTCTCGATGCAAACCAGCTCCATCTTCTCAATATGACACTGAAACGCACTCCCTCATCTTTTAGTTCGCCCCGAGCCGGGACACCTATCCCACCCGGTTATCATCTCGTCTACTTCACGCCTTCCATTGTCGAATCCGAGTTGGGCCTAGACGGCACGGACCGCACTGTCAATCCACTCCACCCATTCACAAGACGAATGTGGGCAGGAGGTGAGCTGCAATGGTCAAAAGACTGCAACGCGCTGCTGAGGGTAGGACAGGAAGTCGAGGAGACTACCAGGCTTCTTAGCGCCGAGCCCAAGAAACTGAAGAATGGCGGAGAAATGCTGGTAGTGGGGGTAGAAAAAACATTTTCAAACGACCATGGCATTGCATTGACAGATCGTCGCAATTGGGTATTTCAACGTGAACTCACACCTGAGAATCCGATGAAAGCACCACCAAAGCCGGAAGAAGTGCCATTGCCCAAGGGCCAGTACGAACGGGATTTCTGCCAGACGCGAACTTCGTTGTTCCGATTTTCGGCCTTGACATTCAACGGACACAAGATACACTATTTGCCTGAGTGGTGTAGGGAGGTCGAGGGACACCGCGACTCTGTTGTGCATGGACCACTAAACTTGATCAACATGCTAGACTTTTGGAGGGATGCCAGCAAGAGTGGTGACATGGAAATGGTGCCCAAATCTATAGCATACCGTGCTATGAGCCCGTTATATGTTGAAGAGCCATATCGCATCCTGTTGAAGAACAGTTCGACCGAGCACCATAGTACAGCAGGCCAAGGAGAATGGAGTGCCGAGGTCTGGGACAGTTTTGGAAAGCAAAGTATGAAGGCGACAATTTTGGAGTAGATTCATTATTCATCCGCTCTGAAGCAGAGAGCGTATAGCTCAAAAGTCAGTACAACCATATCTCGATCTATATCAAAAAGATCTTGAATGCGTTTTCAAATGCAGTTAAGTAAAGTCATGACTTCGACATCGTACAATGCAACACCCTCAGTCCTATCCTTACGCCCACTTGCCGAGAACACTCATGATAATGAGTCCGGAAACCAGGGCAGACATCGCGGACAGAGTCCTTATTAGACCCGCGTTCATCAATTTTCCGCTCATCCAGTCTCGCGCCAACATCTCTACGAGACCTACCCAAGCAAGGATACCAGCCGAAAGAGCATCGAGGGTTCCGATAGCAACGAGAGTGCTGGGGTCACTGCCGTTGAAGTGGTCGAGCACGCCAATACCGATGGCCATGCCAATGGGTGTGATGAGTGCAAAGGTACCAGCCATGATGAGTTTCTGTAGCGTTCCCGCTGCAGCCTTTGGAAGATCAGCAATGCAAGTTCCCAGAGCGATGCCTTCGAACATCTGGTGGAAGAGAATGACAACGAAGAGGGTGATGAAGAACCCATCACTAGCTACAACGAGGGTGATACCAATGACTAAGAAGCGCGTTAGTTGGATGGTACCATGCGCATCAGCATAAACTTACGGATGGAGTGGAAGATGATGCCAGCCTCAAGGTTCATCACGTTAATTTTCTGTTCCATGGGGGTAGCAATGCGCATGGGTCCATGTGCGTGTCCGGCGTGACCGTGGTCAGACCCTTGATCCGAGCTAGGAGTAGAGGCGACCTCGCCAGACTTGTTGTCGCCGGCAACCGCTGCAACCTCTGTGCCGCTGCTTGAATGCTTACTTTGGCGCCACTGTACAAAACGAGCACCGAGATAGTCTACCAAAAAGGAAAGGAACAAACCAGCCATGAAGATTGCGGCCGTGGTACCCTCATATTCTAGTCTGCCAAGACATTCATTCGAGAACATGAGTTGAGCGTGAGTAAAGAGATGGATAAATGCAGTCGAAATGACGATACCGGTACCGAATTGCTTCAAGACAACGAAGATGATGTTGTCAGCGCCGACGAGGTTGAACTTCCTGGTCAGAACGGGAGTGAAAACTCCGATACCGCTGGTGACGAGGATGACGAAAAGAAGACCGACTCGAAGACCAATATTGTAGTTACGATCAGGGGCTTCGCATACTGGTCCAGAGCTTCCACCAACGCAGTGGGGGATACCAGCGTGCTCGTGACAGTGCTGGCCGCTGTTTCCGGACTCGCTAGCTGAGCCAGCTGCAGGCTCCTCTCCATGGTCATGCGAATCTCCTGCGCTGTGCGACTCTCCTTCTGTGCTGTGCGACTCTTCTCCTGCGCCATTGACAAGGATCTTTACATCTTCGCCCCTGTTGTCGACACAGTATCTGGATAAATTAGTGTCGACTCTACAGAGTGGAAACTTTACATACACTCCAGAAGAATGCGAATGACAGTCTGTGTATTGCGATTGAAATTCCTCGGTGGCTGTAGGCCCAGATACCTGATACTCTTCCTCACCAACCATGCACCATCTGTCTCATGTCAGTTCAAAATATCCCACCCAATCTCTGAAGTTGGTGACCTACAGTACGGTTTTGTGTGGATGGCAATCTGATACGGCAGTAAATGTTGGAGACGACGTTGTGGCAGGCGCAGAGGTAGTCCGGCGGGCCACAGAGCTTGTGCTGGTTGGGGTTGGGGTCAAGGTTTGGGCAGCAGCAGACCCTGCAAGAAGCAGGACCGCTGACGAGAGCATGAAGTGCATTGTCGAAGGCATAGCCAGGGGGTAGTGAATGTGCCAGAAAAGCGAGCCGACTGGTCTCGAGGTGTGTGTGCGACAAGAGTGGTCAGCGCACCCGTCCTGATATAACCGTGTGGTCAAGCCTCGGTGGAATCAGCGGAGCGGAAGAAAGGCACCACGGTTCGAAGGTGCAGGGCCTCTGGAACCCTACGAAGAACTTTCCGGGTCCCATCTATTTGGACGAGAGGCGCCATGGATGCGCTTGGCATTGAGCACCGTGTTGGATTGATTGCCCTTGGCATTTGTTTACATCCGGAAACACATCGAATCATGGCCTGCGCTTGGTCTCTGTATGCCCCAAATCCGACAAGCGTCTTCTGTACGTGGGCGGGAATAGCGCCACAAGTAGGGTGGCGGACAGCTTGGCGATGTATGCTGGGTGCATGGATAGTGGGATGCGTGGGTGGTGCTGCGGCTTTTACTACCAGAGCGGTAGTGATAGTCTACACGCACATCTATACAGCAGTTCTGTTGCTGGAAGTATTCAAAATACGTCTTCGTCTCTCGAATCTTGTCGATGTCAATAGCTCACCTCTGAACCAGGTCAAAAATAAGATAGTAAGTCTAGCTTGGCATCATTCATCAGTTCCTATTGGAGATCCATATGACTATCTCAATATCTTCAGCTCTACGAAAGTATGTCACTCGACAGCAAATGCTGTCTGGAAGGTCCCTGTAGTAATACAAGGATGTCACAATGTACCACATTCGGCTTTCCTCAACATGGCCATGAATCCCGACAGCTTGTATCTTGGGAGCGAGAATTTCTCTCCATTGGGCGCCCATCATGGTACTTAACCAACCCCAAAATCACGCTTGAGCGGAGAAACATGTATTCCAGACCCCACGCGGCTGAAAGCCAAGCTCTATCGCAGAGACTGTACGTCAGACCAAGCACTGGATGCTTCTTCAGGCCCGTGTTGTGTAGTATCGGCTTCTCTGAACGGGCATCAGACCAGGGTGTATCTGCAGCTGCCAGGTGGAGGCGTTTTTTTCTCCAAGCCTCGGCGGCTCTGTTCAACGTGAGCTCGGAATTTGAGTACCGAGACGAATAGTGCCAACTAACAACAGGCCAGCCTCGTGGGATATATAAAGAGCCTGCAGCTTGTCTCCAGCTACCCTCGTCCAGTATCCGGCATCCAGCGCCTCGGGACTTCAATATCAATTTCACATCCAATCCCAGACTCGGCTGCTGTCCCTCAGACCAACTTCACAATGGCTGCTCGTGTCTCTGCTCTCCTGCTCCTTGGAGCCTCCGCCGTCATGGCCGGACCTATCGCCCCACGTGATACCTTCACAATCACTACCAGCGAAAACGCACAAATTTCTGTCGGTGACTCGACATGGAATGCTGGTGCCGTCGATAATTTCCCTATCCATGCATCCTGCAATGCTACTCAACGCACGATGCTCCAGAAAGGGCTCAACGAGGCAGTGCTCCTCGCCCGCCATGCTCGCGATCACATCCTCCGTTGGGGAAACGAGTCCCATATTTACACCAAGTACTTTGGTGATTCTCCTACCGGTGAACCTATTGGTTGGTACACCAAGATCGTCGACGGCGACAAGGCCGGTATTCTCTTCCGATGTGATGACATTGACGGAAACTGTCACCAGGATGGTACATAAACTCACTCCAAAACTTGAAGAGATATTAGTTACTAATAGAAATCAGGATGGGCCGGCCATTGGCGTGGATCTAATGCAACCTCAGAGACTGTCATTTGCGACCTCTCCTACGAGCTCCGCAAGCCTCTTGAGTCCATGTGCATGTATGGCTACAATGTCGCCAATGGTGCCACCAACTACTTTTGGGCTTCGGATCTTATACACCGCCTTCTTCATCTTCCTCCAGTTGGTGAGGGTGTCGTAGAGCACTACACGAATGAGGAAGAGGAGAAGTACCCTAGTGTCATCAACCTTGCTAAGAACAACGCTACATACTCCGCTAGGGACAGTGACACTATTCAGTACTTTGCTCTTGAGGCCTATGCTTATGACATTGCTGTTCCCGGTGTGGGTTGCCCTGGTCGCTACGCTGCGCCTGAGGAGTCTCCAGCCGCCACCTCTTCTTCCACCCCATCTGCCACCTCTGCTGTCACCTCTGCTGCGGCCTCTGCAACCGCCAGTGAGGCTGCTGCTGCGCCTGCCGAGGCTTGTGAGCCCCACAATGACCACTGGTAAGTAACTTCTTCGCTACACGTCCACTAGTATCCAGCTAACTGAGCAATTAGGCACTGCCCTCCTGGTGTCCCTGAGCCTACCTCACCTCCCTCTTAAGCGTTCATTGCGCTATGATAGCTATGGGTAATTGCTACGTATGAAGGGCTGATTTTGACTGTGTCATCCAGTCTCCGAAACAAAATCAAAAACATCACGATAGACATTAATGATAACCCAAAAATACTACTCTTGCTCCTATCTTTTCCATCGGTTGATATGACCTTTCTGTGTGGTTCAGTTCGCTAAGAAATTGGCGTTGTGGTTCTTCACCCTGATTGGGTCTAAAAATGATATTATGCTTATATTCTGCGATACCTTTTCTCTTAAGCGGGTTGATGTTCAGGATCCGTCACTCCATATTAGCTTGTGGTGCTGAAAAGGTATGAAATGATGAAGCGATATGGACTGGGATAACACTGATATCCACGCACTTGCGCAAGATAGAGGGAGGTAGAGGCAGGACATTTTAGCTACTCAATCGCACCGACGAGTTGGATCTAGCTCCCTAATACACTCTGATCACATGACTACGCGACATTCTGGCGCCGTGGGGAAAGCCCCAAGCTGGATCTGGCCTACCTCTTGTATTGACGGCAGGTACCCCTCCCAACCCTGTCCTGGCACTGCAAATACAGAGCAAACTTTCTCCCTTTCTCTCTACTGACTTAAACTTCTCTTCGTCCATTCTGGCGTGCAACACCGCAATCTGTGACTGCAGACATGACGAACTCATCCGAAGCTCTCGCACAAAACAAGCTAGATAAAGCACGAGAGAAGCTGCTTTGGTAAGACCACTAATACATCATTATACGTCAATACTGACTCACATATAGGGCAAAGCACAGAAATGCCCGGTTCTCACAAGCGTATCTGATAGTCCCTGAATGTCCGACGCACGAGAACGATCTAGCTAATCCCAAATAGCGAAAAAGACATCAAACGTGAAGAAGGTCGACTAGAAGAGCAGAAGCGATGGCTCGCCACGAGGCGCTTGATGCTACATGGGCAGTACAGCGATTGGCTGAACGATACCATCGTCAATCGCACCATAATCCCATACTGCAAGATCTGGAATCAAAACCTTGCAGCCCAAATGCAAGATCGTTTGCCACGAGAGATCCGAGACATGATATATCAGCACCTATGGCACTATGATCCCGACAGAACATCCCCCCATCTGCTGGCGCGACAGCATGTCAAGCAACACTACACCTTCACATGCCCCTACTGTCCACCAGACACGATTGCAATGTTCCCACGCCTCATAGACATTGCTCAATGCATGTTCCGTGCGGAAGATGGCGATCTCAGTCAGTTGTTTGATCATTCTGCTCTCCCACACTATCTATCCCCAGACTATGTCGGCGACCTTACTGCACATGAGATCGGAGTGTCATTCTACAAGTCTCTCAATGAAGAAGATCTCTTACAATGCCAATCGAGTCGCATTGAGTTAGTCCTGCAAAGCGACGCTTTTCATCTCGGCCTCCCTACAATGGAACTGATCCGAAGTCTGACAGTTCATTGCAATATCGATCGCTACCGTACTCCGCCACAGCAACACGCTCTTTCTTCCAAATGTAGACATACCTTGAGCGAAACAGCACTAGTTCGCAGTGAGTTATTGTTTGACGACTTCTGCAGCTTACTTGATATCAAGAACAAGAAGGACTTCAAACTTCACGTTATCATGCACCAATGCTATATTCGCTTGAATGTTCTAGAGGAAGCAATCAAAGCACTCCGATCGGTGCTGGAGAGCTTTTTGCGAGATGGCTCCTTTCTCACAGTGACCTGGACCTATCGTGGGCACTGGGATAATGCAATGGGTCCTCCTTGTCATCAACTAGTTTCTTGTGAAATAACACACGCCTTGGATGCGTCCAATGACCCATTGTTAGATGACCCAGAATGGAAACTGGATCTATACGAAGTCTTGGATCAGGTATGTGTGGTCGTAAAGGACTGCATGTCCAGCCCACTAACATGCTCCCAGGCTGAAGACATCATTATGCCGGAACACGCAAAGTTCGATGTCGAGCCTGCCAATGTTTCAAAGACTTCAAATCGCAGCGCAATCAACCGTTTTGTGCACAACATGTACGACTTGAGCGAGATACACAATCTGGCTGTGATGAACGTCATCACTCAGGGTACAGATGTTCCATCCGAGTCCGAGGTAGAATCTGATGTCAGTGATGGCTGCAAATTTGGTCTTTGTGCTCATGAAGATGATGAAGAACTGTGAGCATCTGCGCAACGGATCTTGCTCCTGATATTGGAGTGGCTTCTCGCAGAATCTTTACTAATTACGATACTGCATTACGGTTATGACTAAACACATGTTTCAGAGAGCATTCGTTTCATGCAGTGGTTATTGTTCATGTACTTTTCCAATTAGATAGAGGGTAACTTCAAAAAAGCATGTCGGATATCACTCTAGCAATGGATGTTGTGTACACGTCATTGCATTCTCGGTGCTATCTCCACACCATCTTGACACCCTTACTTGACCTGCTCACTCGTTCAGCGCACTTATGCCTTCACTCAAAATGGTCTTCCTTACGTCTTCCCTTTCCATGACAGCATCCGCGAGCCTAGTATAGTTTAGATACTTGTCCCGCATCTCCATCTTCAACATGTTACCCCACCTATAAAACACCAGCAGATACGCATCGACCACGGTAAAGCTCTCACCAATAGCCCAGGTCCTCGCCTCCAACTTCTTCTCAACGTATTCAAAGCACTCCTTGACCTGATTCCTACCTGATTCACGCAGAGCTTCATGCGTCACTTCATCCTTGATAAATCGCGCAGGCCGAAACAAGCATCCAAAAGCCTGTCCATGCATTGTCCCTGATAACCACGCCATCCACTCATACGCCCTCGCCTGCTCCATCACTCCCTTTCCAAGTAAATTCTTCTCAGGTGCCAAAGCAGAGATGGTGGCAAGGATAGCCGGTGTTTCGGTGATGAGTTCACCATCGATTTCTAGAATCGGGACCCGGCCTTTGGGGTTGAGATGTAGCTGCGATGCTGGGAAGCCCCGCGCTGCATGGAGATTTGTTGCGTTGAAAGAAAGTGAAGCGCTGTTTAGAGCGATATGTGAGGCCAGGGAACAGGAGCCTGGGGTGTGGTAGAGGTGGAGGTTTGGCGCCATGATTGGATGTTGCAGGACGCAAGGTTAGGATTATGATGATGCGTGTTTGTTGGAGTACCGCGATGATATTTTGTTATTCAGAGAGAATATTTGCTGTTCGAGCTGTTACGGCTTTGAAGACAGGTGTCATACTGCATGTTAGCAGCGGAATTGTTGCCGCTAATCAGCAGCCGTACTATCATGAGGTGGTGGCCTTATTGTCCACGCAGTAAGCATTTATGCGAACCTAGTTCAGACACGATATACCTTAATCAAGATATCGTAGTATTTTCACTTTGTGAAGATGATCTAACCAATAGAGAAAATAACGCTGATCATAGTCATTCCGCTGATAGCAACGTGCCTTTCAACGTTGGAGAGTCGGCAGAAACATTCCGGCATACATTATACTAGTGGCTCATCACGTGACGACTGTCTAATCAAAATTTACAAAAATCTAAAAATTTATAAACTTATAGAACCCTCTTACAGAAATATAGCATATATAGCTATGAAGTAAATAGAATTTTTCTACAAAGAGGAAAACCCTTCTTATTACTGGTAACAGCGACCTCGGCCGCTGTCGCCATTTACTCTGCCTAAAAACGCTGATGCCGCCGCTCTACTAAGAAACGATAAAGCAGCGTTATTCTCGTATCGGTCCCTATGTAGCGGAAATCCTTGTGGGCCGGAATGAGCCAATGAGATACAGCATGGCGCGGAGATAATTGCTGACTTTGCGCTCTTATTGACTAGTTCTGGCCCACGAAGTAAGTTTTCCGGCACACACGAAGGGACTTTAATTAGCTATTTCCCTTAGGGTGGAAGACCCCTGCAAAGCGCGGGTAGCCTGGTCATTAGGTCTCTACATTGGGATCTCAAAAACGCTATTATCTCTAGTTAGAGTAAACACCCAAGAAAACAGGCAGGAGAAAAAACACGACAAACAGCGAGAAATCAATTTTTGGAATTATCGTCACAAAGGACTGGAAATAC